ACTGTAGATTCAAATGAAGTCCTGGAGCCATCTAAGATGAATTCTGTGTCATCTGCATACTGAGTGAGAAGATATTCCTCATTGCCAACTATGATGCCTCTGATGTTTGGATTTGTTCTTACTAACCCAGCCAAGATTTCCACACAAAGAATAAAGATGTATGACGATAAGGGATCACCCTGTCTACAACCTCTTTGGATAGAGAACCAAGGTGACAATGAACCATGTATGACAATACAAGATCTGATATCATTATACATGACATTGATCCATTTCTTAAAGTCATCACTAATATTAAAAAAACGACAGTGTTTTTATCTATGAATGACCACGAGACAGAATCGAAAGCCTTTTCAAAGTCTATCAGGAAAAGCATCCCAGGAACTACCTTTGATTCTGTATGCTGCATGATATCATAGAGAAGTCTACTATTATCTCTAATATATCGTCCTGACATGAACCCAGTTTGACCAGTAATAATCTATTTAGGAAGAACTTTCTTTAACCTTTCTGCAAGAACGGAGGATAAGAGTTGTAAGAACAATTAAAGAGTGATATAGGTCTCCAGCTTTTGAGGAATCTTTTAGGTGTATCTCCTTTAGGTATGCAAGTGATGATACCTTGCTTTTGCGTAACTGAAAGACTGCCGTTTGAGAAGCTGTAATTCAACGAACGTGAAAGGAACTCTGAAATATCATTACAAAAACATTGTAGAATTCATAAGAGAACCCATCTGAACCTAGGCTTTATTGTTGGATGATTTTTTCAAAGACTCAAGTAATTCTTTCTCATCATTACTCAGTTTGCGTAGATCATCATCACACAAAAGATCATCCAAGTCCTTGTCTACAATTGAGTGTTCCCTGGATTGATAAAGATTTTCATAAAATAGCTTAGCTTCTTGAGCAATACCTTGGGTACTAGTCAACACTAATCCATCACTACTTTCAATAAATGTCATTGATTTACTGACGTAGTTTCTATTTTCTAGAAGCCCATTTCTGGTGTCCCCCGCCGTGATGGTGCTGGAATATTGCTAAAAGCGGCGTAAAACCAAACTCAGTCAGTCAGTCAATTTTCCAAATTGCAGAAATATTTAGAAACCTTCTCTCCTTCTTCAATCCATCTCGCTCTAGACCGAATAATGACACAATGACCTCTCAACTTTGCATCATTATCAACAATACAGACACAACAATTTGTAGCAGCAGACCTCACCACTTGCACCATTACAGACATGTCACTATGAAGCACGCACAACTCTCACAACACAACTCACAACACTCCTTTTTGCTCCTTCCTTGTCTCGTTAGTGTAACACACAGAACGTTTCGACATTAGCACGATTACATGGAAAACATAAATTTTACTTGTTCCTGACATATGATAATACTACAAAATATACTGTGAACATTATCACACATAACACGGTGCATGCCCTCCTGTCTGACAGACAAACGACACACCTATAGGGTATCGCTATGTAGGTATATAAAGTAGTCATTCATAGTATAGAACATTGTTATGTATACTGGCAGTTCACAGTTTAATAGATGTTTTGAGCAAACTTAGAGATCAGAATACCACGTGTACTACATCATGGTGTGTGGTACAGTTCGGTGGTTGGTTACGCATAATGGGCAGCTATTAAACAACACTGACTGCACCGTAATAGTCACATAATGAATTATACGTCTTTTATGAAGTGTTTGGGTGTGGAAGATATCCTTATTTCATCACCTGATATCATAACAGAGATAGGCCCAGCCAGGTAATGAAAGGAACCGCCTATGCATTCACTAATCAAAAGCAACGAGGTTCCTGTATGTCACACACATGCTTGCATTTCATTGGCGAGTCCAACATCAAAGTCACGGGTCGTTTCTATCATGTCTTTCACAGATGTGTAAACAATGGACGTATGAGGTGCAAGGATCTGATCAGTGGCTGCATGGCTCTCATAGATTACTTGTTTATAGCGCCATGATTCCTTATTGCCGGCCAGGTGGGTGAGGGTTTGCGTTTTCTCACACGTGGCTAGTTGTACGTGGGAACATAGGTTTCTCAAATCTACCCTGATAGCACGATAATACACACTGTCTCACGTTGCCAGCTGTACATGGAACGATGGGTGTCTTCAGGCGCCCTGCCAACATAACTCACACTCTCACATTGCCAGCTGTACATGAAAACACTGGCGTCTTCAGGCGCACTGCCAAAATGATAACTCACATTCTCACATTGCCAGCTGTTCATGAAAACACTGGCGTCTTCAGGCGCCCTGCCAACATGATAACTCACATTCTCACATTGCCAGCTGTTCATGAAAACACAGGCTTCTTCAGTCGCCCTGCCAACATGATAACTCACACTTTCACATTGCCAGCTGTACATGAAAAAACTGGCGTCTTCAGGCGCACTGCTAAAATGATAACTCACATTCTCACATTGCCAGCTGTACATGAAAACACAGGCGTCTTCAGGCGCACTGCCAACATGATAACTCACATTCTCACATTGCCAGCTGTTCATGAAAACACTGGCGTCTTCAGGCGCACTGCCAACATGATCACTCACACTCTCACATTTCCAGCTGTACATGAAAACACTGGCGTCTTCAGGCGCCCTGCCAACATGATAACTCACATTCTCACATTGCCAGCTGCTCATGAAAACACAGGCGTCTTCAGGCGCACTGCCAACATGATAACTCACATTCTCACATTGCCAGCTGTTCATGAAAACACAGGCGTCTTCCGTCGTTCTACCAACATGATAACTCACATTCTCACATTGCCAGCTGTTCATGAAAACACTGGCGTCTTCAGGCGCCCTGCCAACATGATAACTCACATTCTCACATTGCCAGCTGTACATGAAAACATAGGCGTCTTCTGTCGCCCTGCCAACATGATAACTCACACTCTCACATTGCCAGCTGTTCATGAAAACACAGGCGTCTTCAGTCGCCCTGCCAACATGATAACTCACACTCTCACATTGCCAGCTGTTCATGAAAACATAGGCGTCTTCAGGCGCCCTGCCAAAATGATAACTCACACTCTCACATTGCCAGCTGTTCATGAAAACACTGGCGTCTTCAGTCGCCCTGCCAACATGATAACTCACACTCTCACATTGCCAGCTGTACATGAAAACACTGGCGTCTTCAGGCGCCCTGCCAACATGATAACTCACATTCTCACATTGCCAGCTGTTCATGAAAACACTGGCGTCTTCAGGCGCCCTGCCAACATGATAACTCACATTCTCACATTGCCAGCTGTTCATGAAAACACAGGCGTCTTCAGGCGCCCTGCCAACATGATAACTCACATTCTCACATTGCCAGCAATGCTGTACATAGAAACACAGGCTTCTTTGGTCGCTCTTCCAACATGATAACACACTTTCTTACTTTGCCAGCTGTACATAAAAACATAGGCGTCTTCAGTCGCCCTGCCAACATGATAACTCACTCACTCACTTAGCCAGCTGTACATGAAAACATGGGCTTCTTCCGTCGCCCTGCCAACATGATAACTCATTCTGTCACATTGCCAGCTGTACATGAAAACATAGGCTTCTTCCGTCGCCCTGCCAACATGATAACTCACTCTCTCACATTGCCAGCTGTACATGAAAACACAGGCGTCTTCCGTCGCCCTGCCAACATGATAACTCACTCACTCAGTTAGCCAGCTGTACATGGAAAAAACAGGTTTCAACATTATAACACACAATATCCCGTGAAGACGATTATTAGCATGATGACATGGACACGTTTACATGCATTCGGTCATCTACATAGGCTAGTTCAGAGTCACTGCATGCAAACATGTAATCTCACATATGGCCAGCCTTCCCGCGGCACAGGCTAACACGCATATGTACACATATTAGCATCTAATACACGCCTGTTGGCAATTTCTCGTGATAACCTGCGGTAAAAGGGTACTTTTGTGCATATACATCTCATTCGTTAAGTCGATCAAGTTCATACTGAAGACGTATGTGTTGTAGACAATGTAAGTATTGCTATTACACAGCCTTCAAAGAGAGCTGATCGAGCAATGTCCACCTGAAGGGAAACTTAAACATAAATCTCTGGTAAGTACGGGACATGTGCGTTTAGACAATCGCTGAATCTTTCTACAGAAACAAAGCGTAATAACAATCATTATGCATTCCTCAGATGACAGTTGACAGCATACGTTGCAAGTCTGCATTCCTTCTGGTAATAGTACCCTTGTCCATACACGAACAGCTGGGGTATAATTTCGTGTGTTATTGCTTACATAGATACATATGCATATGACTAACCATTTGAGTTATTAACCCTTTAGACACATTCCGAGGGTGTTTATGTGCTTATCTGCAATAAGAATAAGTCACGTTGTCCTTTCTGTGAGTCCTTGTATACTACTATAGAATTGATGACAAGCAGATTTGTGAATGTTCAGAAATGATAGCAAGATATTTTACTGCATCACATTCCAAATACTAGCTATTTGCATATGTGTATATAAAATGGAACAAAAGCTCCAGTCAAGGCAGAAATAACGCAGCATCATTTGCTAATAGGATTTCGGGCGTATTATCCCATGCAAGAAAAGAGCCACACCCTGAATTACAATTTGAATATAATAAGATAATCATTATGCACCGTAAACAACCATACCGATAGGATACGACCTTGACAAACACCCTCTTAAACACGAAGCACATCCTTGGTAAAACCGGCAATACTTACACATGACGTCATTGAGGCATATATTGTGCATTATTTTATATTTATATCCAAATTATCCAATTTGAAAAAGCAAGTTTAATCCTATGTCTGTTATAATTTTCTCGTTGTCGAGGACAGTGTGTGAGTGAGTATAGTTTAACGTCGCCGTTAGCAATATTCCAGTAATATTACCAGAAATGAGCTTCACATGTACCCATATCGGGAATCGAACCCGCGTCTTCGGCGTGACGAGCGAACGCGCTAATCACTAGACTATCACACCGACCCTGTAGAGGAATGAACAATAAACAGGAGGCTGTTTTTTTCTGAATAATACTCTTTGCTTGTAAAATATAAAAGTCATTTTCCTGCCTGTACACCCCTCGAAAAGGAGGAGGAAACAGCAAGGTGTGATGGTGAACTCCAACATTCTGTAGTTTGTTGGATCACTTTGCTGAATACGTGGCGAGGATTAAGTTCTGTAGTTAGAAGGGTCATCTTTGCTTTGAAATGGCCTTTGTGGATAGATCAAATTGTTCTTTCCAACTTCACTTTGATATTCTAGTTATGGCGAAACTGTGGAGGTCACGCTAAATGTGAGTAGTAAGCGGGTGATGTCACAAATAGCCCTTGTGTTACGTATAAATGCGCCACTGTGATCATGAAAATAGACACGAAGCTAAAACGGTTCGGTTTTAGGGTGTCTTGGAAATAAGATTATATCACTCATGCCTGTGAAATACTATTAGCTGGGTTTTCGAGACATGGATACACAGAGAGATATACTAACATACACACTCACACACAGCCATACAAACAGTAATACAGGCACAGGGATACAGTCACAGGGATACACACACAGGGATACACACAATCTGCCTTTCGGTACCTGCAGTGAACTAGGACTGGGTCCTGGGGCTGTTTGGCTCCTTCCACTCTCACCGCATCTACACAAGATTTGATGACGTCATATGACGGCAGATCGCAAGTGTCCGGCCAGTCCATGCAGTGATACTGACGTAGTACCCGTGTCTTGTCTCCAGCCTGGCAACATAGATGAATGCCGTGTGCTGCCTATTACAACATTACACAGGGTTACATCAGTCCTACATATGGTGCGGCAATACTTTCACTCAGTACTGTCATATAGAGCAGAATAAAGGACCGCTGACTTACAAATACAGTTCAGTTATAACGACTTCTCTTACTCAGGGCCGATTGAACAGGTACAGGCACGAATATATAGCAGCGAAAATGTGATATGTTTGGGCTGACGTGCTAACTTGTTAAGTACAAATACAAATACAGGTTCGTGGATGTCACACAGTCGAGACCTGGTGTCACCCACCAGACTATAGCTGAGACTTATCGACTGGGGACGTTGTATTTTACGCCGATTCAAACATTATTTAACAAAAGTGGTTGTATAGAAAACAATTCTGCTTTGTATGTCACTGACGAATCCCATGGTCTCGGGAATGATCAAAAGGGAACCTGGACTCAAAACCATAAATCCTGGAACGACAATGGAACTGCCGAAATTCCGATGAGATCATTGGTTCGAGCTAGTACCGTCCCAATCAAAGTCGAACCACTACTGCAGTGACGTTCGTGTTCAAAGTCTAGCGTGGCGGTAGTTTGAGGTCTTTGTTGAAGTATAGGATTCGTAACACTGCTGTTTAGTTGTAAGTCTGTTTTTAACTGTTGGTTTCTTAGCGACGCGAGAGTTTGAGTCTATGGTAAATGAACGCAACATGGTTCCAGACTAACCAATTACAGATTGTCAAGCTAATCCTTACCTTTGTCTTTACAAGATGAAAGTTCCGGATACACAGTCCTTCTCCCTCCTCACCCGACACGGACGACACCATGAACGGCCCAATCTCCATCGTCTCACCGTGCTCGGGCCAGTAGACTCCAATATCCTAGACACACAATAGTAATTCGTTACGGTTTAGTTAACGGAAATATCAATTGAGAAATACTTGGGTAAAACAGAGGGCGAGGACATGATCTGAGCCTGATTGCAAGGAACATTCCTACAGTTTATCAGATGCAAACACTACATCAGTGCACTCTTACAGTTATTAAAATAATATCTCATTTCCCACCGTTGACAACAAATATTTCATAACCAGATTTCATTGCTGGACCTATTAATTTCCATCGATGTCTTTGATTTAATGGTGAAGGTGGGGATCCGGGGCTTTTCATAAACAATATTCTGTTTGTAAAAAGAACGATAAAGTACACGTAGGTTTTATATCATAGAACACAATGCTTATTCGGAAACGTAATGAGTTGTGAGTGCCAGGTGAGGGTTTGGAACAGAAATTGTAAATTTGGAAACTCGGAATAAAGGAATATTCAGTCACTAACAAAGGCCCCAGACCTCCTCGGTAGGTGGGGCTGTGCCTGCGTCAATGCACCTCCAATAACTTTATTCATTCAGTGAAACCTACTTGCCGCAGGGTCAAACTGAAAATATAGGATAAACTGAAGTTTAAAGATCTGAATGAGCTCTTGAAGACGACATCGTTGTATCAAAGGAATGGAAAGGAACATCTAAAAATTAATTTCCCAGTGTTTGACCTGGTGATTGCAAGCTGTAAGCTATAAATGCTATTTGCTTCTATACCGTTAGTATAGGAATAATAGCATCATGCATCACCTCTACGTCCTGGTCGTCCGTGATGCTGTCTATCATGATGATGAGACTGACGTCATGGTCGTACACGAGCCTCCAGAAGTCCAGAACTGTATGAGGGAGAGGTGTCTGGGTCACGAGCAGCCCCCGGGGGTGACGGAATGACTGCAAAAATGGTACTAACAACATGTGGATTGTACGTTTATACTGATATCAATCATTCTTTTTCATCGATTAAAGTTTTTGTATATTATTACCCACGTGGTAGTTCGTGAAGGGGTTTCATAACAAAGTGTTCAGAAGTTCGATGTCAAGAAGACAAAGCTGTTTTCAAGGTTTACGGAGAACACACATGGTAATACAGAGATTGCCTACTGAGAGTGCAAGGAATACAAGTGTGCAGTGGCACATTCTGTACCTCAACAACAAAAACCCATATAATATTCTTAGCCTTATAATGCTTGGTATCTCACTAGCTACACACGTATGTTGTTCAAATATAGCTCTGTGGACAGTACAATGAGAAACATGTATTAGGCCAAACGTATTTAATATCTTTCACATCTCTAAACCTTTCTAGCAAAATAAGTGTAATAATAAAAAATTGAAAAATACGCATTCCAGTTATTGTTTAGCAGAATTCATGAAATGTTAAAATTTGGATTGCTTGGTAGTGGGGTTAATAGTATTTCATGTAGATTGAGCCGCTTTGTTTGGACACAGTAATACATGTAGATGAAGAACGAGCACACTCGGCGGTTTTTTACGAGTGTGCAAGGGAAGAGTGTCGAACATTTCACCTGGACATACATTTTCACAGCGCCGGGGGAAAATTATAGGTATATTATTTATTGTATCACTGTGGTCGGGCGGGGGGATGATGAAGAAAGAAAGAAAAACGTTGTGTTCATGCTTGCCAGGAACACGATTGGTACTGTCGTGCATGGTACGTAATTCGATTTGAATAGCTGCATCCCTCAGAAGAAATAGGATCATGGTCTTAAAAACACAATACCAACAATACCAGCCCTCGGTTATTAAACATCATACTTGTGCTCAACTTGGTAAACATTAAGAATCTATACCCCTTTTGGCTTTCCTCATGCAATAAGTTCCCACGCCGTGATATAAGTGTAGTGCGCATCAAGGCGCTCGCTCACCCAATCACTGCATCTTATACAGCTTCGTTTCAGTTCTAACATGATAAACATTAAAGTAAGCATTAAAATATTTAGATGATGAGGCTAGTTGAAATATATTTTGTCCCTATTGAAAGTACATTCAGGAAGTTTCAAAGAGTAATGGTATTGTATTGTACAACTTGTTGCGCGATGAAAGAACGTATCATCCCAGCAGGTGTTCCAGGGCATCCCATCAGTAACTATATGAACACGATGGAGGGAGGTGTGATAATTGGTAAACATATCTCATGGTGTTATAATCTAATTCACGTTGTTGACATTCTGGAAGCCGCGTGTATCTTTTACAAAAGCATTGGAATACACGTATGAATAAATTCAAAAGGTTAACATGAGACTACCGAACTTTAGTGGCATGGGTTAATTCAATTTGTCACATCAACAGAGCACCCTATCAACTTCTCAGCAGGCGCGGAACATACACAAATTAATCGCTATACATATTGCATTTTACAAGCCCAGACTCGACTATCTGTAGACAGGTAGCACTGACAAGGCATAAGTTCACTTTACATGTAACAGTTACAATACAGAAATTCTAGAGACGGATGTCCTACTCACTGGCACAAAAACAGCATTGATGTAGTCGTTGCCTGCGTCGTTGACATCGGTGTGTAGATGTGGTCGGTATGAGTCGACTAGAGATAAAAACCAAAGGAAAGGTCAAGATGACGCTGTATATCACTGTCTCTGTAAGCTGGATATAAGAGTGTGACAATAGTAGTGTATATTTACTGGTCCTTACAGGCTACATGCTCTGGTCCATACAGTAAAGCTTTCCTGGTTCATACAGTATACAGCTCGAGCTCCATGCAGGAAAAATACCTCCTATATACAGTATACACCCTTGGTTCATCAAGTCTTCCCTAGTCATCACGGTATACATTCCTTGGTCTGAGTATTAAACTGGCAGCCGGTATGCAACACGACAAGGGTTGTCGTATTACACGTTATTTTGAAATTGAAACATGTGTTTCTGTAGGAAGTATGATATGAACTATGGCTTCCGTTACTGTAGAAAGTATCGCACATGTTACTGTAGGAAGTATGATATGTGGTACTGTATTACATATGACCTTTGTTTATCTATGAGGTATGACATGTTGCAGTATGGCGTCTCTTGCTGTAGGAAGTTTGACATATGATGAGTGATTCTTTATGAAGTATGACTTGTTCCTGTAGGATGTATGGTTTCTGTTACTGTAGGAAGTATGATGCATATTACTGTAGGAAGTATGACATACGATGAGTGTTTCTATATGAAGTATGACATGTTGCTTGTAGGAAGAATGGCTTCTGTCACTGTAGGACTGCTGAGTTCAGTTTTACGCCGCTTTTAGCAATATTCCAGCAATATCACGGCGGGTCACTGTAGGAGGTATGACACATATTACTGTAGGAAATATGACATGTTTTACTGTAGGAAGTATGACACATATTACTGTAGGAAGCAGGGGTACTATATGACGTAGGGGTGCTATATGAAGAAGTATTCAGATGTGGTGACGTAGAACTCACGCGGGAGGATGTTACAATATCTGTTTTTGCGCCTGTTCTCGGCTGCCCTGGCGGAGATGAACTCTTTCTCTGACGTCTCTGTGGGGCAGGTCTTCAGGTCCTACGGGGTAACGTCAAGCTTTCTCATGATAATACTTGAAACGTTTTGTATAATCAATATTGACTTGAAACATTTATATACAATGTGACAACTGTACTTCTTTCCTGGTGCTGTTTATACAGAGCACGGATACCTTATTAATTAAAGGATTCTGACAGTAATATCATTACTGGATCGGTATTTTAAACGAACATGAACTCGTTCATGCTGTTGAAGCATTGTACAAGATAGCCATTGCGAAGTTTGATATTTCTTCTTCCTGTAAACATCCTGTTTGTATTCGCTTCACTTTAATTGTCTTAGATAGAGCCTATCATACGACCACTCAGAATGTGGGTGTTGCCCAGACCATCTTATAGACGCTGACTAAAGCATATACCTTGAATTCTTTATGTGCACATTCTGATGTGATGATCTGGAACTGATCTAGTAATGTAGCTGGTGTGAGATAACTGCTGCAGGCGACCAAAGCCGCCAAAAGTGCCTCGTGCAGAAAGACGAACTGATCCTATTAATAAGTAAGAAGAATTACCAACAGAATATCTGACAACAAAAAATTGGTATGTCCTGTATACTTTAAAACCTACAATCACTTCTTTCATACATAGAGAGAGCGATATCTGTTACCATATAGTTAATCACATGTATAATTCAGTTATTGCAATTCTGAACTTCAGGTGAACAAACACATGGAAGAACACAAGCTGATTTGATAATGATCAACACAGAGAACATATGTCTATTGATTGTGGCTTAGTCACATTATGCCGATTTTTTCAAGGAAAGGCCGTGCTTTCAAACCCTGACAATATGGACATTGTGTGGATGTTTGCCAGCTGACACTTACAAGTGTCTGAACCATGTTCACTCGTTGCTGGCGAAGCTTCCATACAACGACAAAGACATCTACATCGTCGTCAAGGGCCGCCTCTTCCAGCAAATTCTCCAGTGCAATAAACGTTCCAGTCCTTCCCACGCCAGCACTGGAATCACAGGATAGAGATGTGTGCGGAACAACCATATCATCAGAAATCCCTTATTTCCTAAAACTATAGTCATGAAGTACCAGTGATATTTATGTCAAAATGCCAATTGTAATATACAAAGTATGTAGTTATTTAAAGGTGTATGATCACATATCACTAGATACAAGCTGAGAGTTTTCCCCAAAACAAGTCCGCATCACTAATGTATCACAACTACGCGTACATCTGTACATATATTTAACATGTTAGTGCAATTTCTGTAGTTTTCAGTGAATTTAAATTTTCGTAAAGTAAAATGCTCCATGTACAATGTTTGAGTTACAGCCATGTTGGTTCATCTACCTGCAGTGTACAAGGACGGGACCATCTGACTTCTCAACAGCGACCTTGACCTTGTGACGGAAGTAAACTAGCGACCACGCTGACAGTGGCACTCCCTTGTCCGGCCAGGCCGTGAAGTGGAACTGGGTAACCGTCCTTGATGGACCATTGAGCTAAACAGTATAACCAGTTTTCCTTATTGGTATAAATTAACTGCCGTCAAACATAACTGAAACTCGAGATTCAACTCACTATAGTTACACAGCTGTTGCCGTATGATCACGATTCTGGTCTTTACATGTCCTGATATCTCGACCTACCTTCGTCATCTGCAGAGTCCTGACTGTGTAGTGAGCCCTGGTGTCCACCTGTACTACTCTCACAGTGATGTCTCCAAGGAGCAGATCCTCCTCACAGTTCCAGTAGGCTTCGCACTTCCTCTGAAGAACAGAAGCGTAGTCTCGCATATAGATAAACCAAGAATACAGTTCACCCTGCAACATCTTTGCACGAAATAAAGCAGCGCAATGTCACGAGCTGTAGTTGCTGGATGAATAACGATGAGCTCCATGTGAATGCCGATGTTACACAGGGAGATCATGACTAGAAATATCACAACGATGGACATCACTGTATCGATAACATACCCTGCCTTCTTCCACCAGATTTGTCAACATGACAACTGTCTTCACGTTCTTCTCCCAGATCATACGGACAAAGTCTGCCAGGATTGCTTTGTTTGGCCCTGAAACATATCAGCTATAGACTCACATCAAACCAGAGAGACTATACATCAATGTTGCTAGTTGGAAACTTTCACGTCTCTTTGCAAATAGAATTGATATCCTCAGTCGGCTGAAGCCTTTCCGTGACACCAATATACCTTCTTACCTTGTGATGCTATGTAACTCGTTTTCTTGTTGTAGCTCTGAAACAGTAAGGAGTCTGTTAGAGGCAGATTATAGCAGTTTTTAGGTCCAAAGTAAATCCTTTGGCTAACATACATCACTGTTTCACAGGCCTTGGTTAACATAACGTGTACGTTCGAAACTCAGTATGTGATAGCCACCAAGGCGATGACGTAGTCGGTATGTGCGTGTTTTAAACCCTTTCCAATCAACTCACCAGGATATGAGAGGCGTTGATGTAATCTGATGTAGAATCACCGTCCACGACGTCCAAGGCAACACGACTGTGGTCATCTGGTAATAGACATCGTGACAGACATTATTACATGTGGATCTTCCGAATACAGCAACAGGTGAATAAGATGAATAAAAATATCTTCATGATAATGGGCTTAGTGTGACTTTTATTGGCAGCAGAAATGTCGTAGCTATGTTGGAGTGACCACGTGTAGCAGTAACAGTTATATCAAGTCATAGTCATAGTCATGCAGTTTCCCTTTTGTCTAAGACATCTCAATTCGCTGTGCTGGGTAACGTCCATTTGGCGTCCAAAGATTGTTGGCACGAAGAGTTTTGCCCTTATGAAGGTTCATGGTGTATGAGCATCATACCTGTGCTCGTGGGTTTCATCAAAGTTGGTAAGGTCTGTGAACTTCATCCGGTGGAACATTCCAAAGACCTGACACGCCGTGATGTAACGTGAAGTAACGATAGCGAACTGTTCACAAAGTGACAAATATGAACGTTTGCCCATTAGGGAAGCATTTTAGCACTGTATTGTCTTCTGACAGGAATGTTAAAGTCGGGACGATCTGGAGACAGGAGATCAATACTTACAGGGCAGGATGTTGAGGTATCTGTTCTTGTGGCGGTTGACGTCGGCGCTGGCAACGTCACAAGACACAATGTAATCCCGGGGTAGCTTCTGTAATACAGTCGTGCTAAGTTACAATTATATCCCGTATTGTTATGGAACAGTGTGTAGTCTACATTTACCAGAGCCATCAAAAGATGGAAGAGCTAGTAAAATGTCAAAAGGTGGCAAGGGCATAATTAAACAGCGACAACAATAGCCTAGAGTTATCAATCCTTGTGTAAACATATTAACAGAACAGACTTGATCGTTATTGGGGAGTTTCAAAAGACTGGTTGTAAATCAATAAAAATATTAATAGGGCGATTTGAAGATCTGAGGTTTATCACTTTTAACTGTTCCGGATTTATGAACAAACATATTACCTGTTGGGAAAAATTCAAAAGTGGCAATTTTCTTGACATTCGTGAGTGTACATGCACAGATTACAGGGAATGCCTCTTATTGACAATGCTTCATATTGTGCTGGTTGTAGTGCTTGTGTTGTGAATCTAAAACTCTTTTTACAGTTTATTTGTTAGTTATTCATTATCTATATGGTGTCATTTTCTGATTTCAAAGATTAGTTGTGTTTGTAGCAATTTCTGAGTTATGTTTAGCCTATTTATAACTTCTTTGCGTTGTAATATCGCAGCCAAACTAATATTACATAATGTCAGACTTATAACAGAATTTAACTCATTTTTCATGTCAAGATTCTGTGATTCCATTTCAACAAATGTTACAATCTAGAGTTTCCTTAGCACAACCCCTCCGACCACCCCTAACCCCTACCCCCTATTACAGAACGCTACCCACCAGAAAGCGATGCTGGAAGTGGTATTTGTTGCTTCGCCACTTGTCCATATAGGCAGGGAAGTCCGCCACCCGCACTGCAGTAGCAGCCGACTTGTCGACGTCCAAGTTGTAGTATTCCATTTTGGCGTCCGGGTCAGCAGTCGGGGGCACCAACGCTTCTTCATCGCCGGTCAGATCATCTGAGTACCACAGGAGAAACAGTGAGTGAGTGTGTGAAGGTACGTATCAATAACCCGGCTTAGTCACAGCAATCGGTCAGTAATCTGGACTAGACCAGCCAGTGATTGAAAACATGAGAAACGATTCACGGTATCAAAGTCTATCAGTGCGGTCCCTGCTGAACTTAGCCCTTTTGACCCGACGTTTCACACAGTAGGATAATGGGTTTGGAATATTAGACATCAGCCATCGAGAAGACGTCACATTGTCTGACACAGATTTACATCGTCGTCGAATTGTTGTGAGCATAAACACTGAACATGATTACTGGTTCAAAATTAAGTGATATCTGCTTTCAGGATCCCAGGTCAGTGGACTATCTTCTCATGGTTCACCCTGAAAACTGACTTGCTACTTACCATCCTCCACACAAGACATATCCAGTCGAGCCTTCAGCAGCCTCGCGTTCCTCCTGGCTACAATAGGTGATGACGTCATTGTCACTATGGGTGATTGTGTTACTTCCGGAGCTTTGGACACCTCCGACTGCTGCACGGGTCCTTTTCTCCTGTGGACGAAATATAAACTTAAATTTGGGTATGGATCGAGTTCTTGCAACAAAAATCCACCAAATGATGTGAGCGAGGTTTCTTGTCAAGTTTCAAAAGTATAATTACAACACTACGTCCGACACGGTCCGTAGAATGGATAACTGAACATACTTTCTGTTTTGGGTGACTATTCTTACATTGATCACAAACTGTACCTTCATCATATATATGGAGAGATTATTACACGAGCAAGTGTGTCATACGACTTATACGAAACGAGTGTGAAAATTTGTATTGCCCGAGCGCGGATTTCATATAAGTCACATGACACATATGCTCGAGTTTAATCATTTATTTATTATCCATTTTATTTATGTACATTTGTGCAGCAAAACACGGTAAGCAAATTTGACGTCCCTCTTCATTGACGTCACTTTTAATTGTTTAATGACGTCACAGACCATGAAATACAGAAACAAAGGTTGCTAAGCAAAAGTGATATGTGCACGTGTGCTCATATGATATATTTGGCATTGGTTATGATGCACCACATAAGTAATAAAATGGCATCCGAGCTATATGACGGAGGACACACTGAAGACATAGGGGTAACAGGATAATCTGTCTACATACCTTCGTTCAGCCTCACGACAGGAGTACACAGGCTTGTGGCGGCTGGAACAGATGGAAGGAAATTGATGAAAACGCATAACTGAATAAATTTTACAATATAAATTCTGTGAGCATTCCAGTGGTCATAATCGGGTCAAGTCGGGGTTTCGAAGCTGACACCTATTTGATCCTGACACGGTACACGGACATCTGAGGGGCGCAGTGCCTTGTGGTAAGTAGCAAACAGTGCACCCTAACTCCACGTCAACAAAAAGTGACATGGCTCAAAACGCAATATTTAATATAATGTATACAAAGCTAGATATTCACTCTGCTCAAGATGCGTGTTGTATTTAATGCATGTTGTGAACTGACCGCTTGAGAATGATGATGACGATGATCAGGCCGATGACAAAGATGAAAGCTCCAACCAAAGCTCCAATCAGAATACTTCGTTCTTCAACGAAGGGAAGACCTACAATAGCTGCAACAGACAGAGCAAATGTATGGAAAACACACATCATATTACAGATAGCACAGTAGGGTAGGTGCAAGACCACATATGTTCAATCCTTGACATGTTCCATGAAATGGCTATGCCTGGTTTGGAGAGCTGTGCGCCAGGACTCCGTACACAGTAGACACTGGGGTTTTCATGATAAGTGGTTATGTAATAGGCCATGGTAATAGTCAATGGTGGATAACGTGATATATGTATTCCTCTACATGTATAAGATCGATATGAATATTCTGTACCATAATCAGCAATATTTCAGTGGAATCAGGATGACATCTCTATCCCTGTATTTGTACACTCTTATAGAAATCTTGATGGGCTGAAAACTAGGAAGTGTTATGATAAGAAAAGGGCGCAGGAATGAAACATATCAAACTAGAGCCATCGATAGCAAGGTACTAGTATCCTATCATATAAATCACTTTATCATAGTTGCAAGCGGGGACTGAAATTGAATCTTGTGGTCTACTTTTGATTGCACAATTCAAGGAAAAGAACCACCAGTGACTGAAAACCTATATGAAGATGAATGCTTTCTGACAGGATAACACGCAGCCACCCCGGATACCCTTAATGGGATCTATTCTCATCGGGAGTTCACAGATGCAAGTGTGCTACAAACTGAAACATGATTACGAAAGCCCACAGGATATGGTCTTTGCTTTTGTCACTACACACGTAAATTTTACACAACGTACAATTTTATGAGACAGTTTTCATCGCCATTTTCTATCTTAATGAATGCGACCACACCAAATATCCAAAACGTTGCAGAGCAAGGTCCGACATTCAAAAGGTATGTCTTGAACAATCAAACATTGTGATTGCGCCTTTAAATGCGCTTGAATTAGCGACAACCTGTCCGAAAATATGTAAAAAATTAATAAAACCACTGATATCATTCCTAAGTACGAAATCACCCGAGTTAGCAGCTGATTTACGTTGCCTGCATGACCTTCACCCTTCTCATAAACATGACCAACAGGGACCTGAAATATCACCTGCATCAACTTTTTTCAACATTAAAATTGTCGACGTTTATTCATGACTGACTTATTAATCGCTTGTCACGTGGCGCATGTACCGCCAGGTGGATCGCTCGGGACGCCTATCTGTCGTGATCATCTCCGGGAGCACGGTTCTATTGTTGCTGCTGTAAATCACAGAGAACCTTAGGCCTACCAGACTGAAGGAAGCGTCTGACATCCATGATGTATAGACTTGTCATAGCACGACACTCGTAAACAACACTTGATGTTTACAACATAGCGGGTCGTATTGACTTCACATTTATAATCATTAATATGTAATAAACCGACAAACAATGCTGACGTTTCTATCATCGAGGAACACCGACTCCTCCCATTTTACGGCTGAAACGCCACAACAGCGTGGAAGTATTTTATGAGCAATTAAAACTTATCTGATCTTCTCCATTCTGTTCTTGCTCTACAACTCCTGACAGGATGGTGATTCGCAATCAAACTGAGACGAAATAGTTATGTTGTTAAGTACTGTTGTACTATGCCGATCATAATACATGCAAGTTCCATTTAGGGTTAACTTTAACATCTGATCATAAAGAAATACAATAAGGCGTTTAGTGCTGTATTGGTAAGCCACTGGTAAGGCGTACCTCATCGGGATGTACTGCTCTAGGATTACATTTTGCCGTCAATGTAAGGTAATACCCATGCCTAAGGAGAGGACGCGTGTAGCAACACACAATTTGTAACTATAGACGGCAAAGGGAGGTGAAATGTGAAGCTGTAGATGCCAAAGGGAGGTGATATGTGCAGCTGTAGACGTCAAGGGAGGTGATATGTGCAGCTGTAGACGCAAAGGGAGGTGATATGTTCAGCTTTTTACGCCAAAAGTAGGTGATACGTGCAGCTGTAGACGCCAAAGGGAGGTGATATGTGCAGCTGTAGACGCCAAAGGGAGGTGATATGTGCAGCTGTATACGCCAAAGGGAGGTGATATGTGAAGCTGTAGATGCCAAGGTAGGTGATATGTGCAGCTGTAGACGCCAATGGGAGGTGATATGTGCAGATGTAGACGCCAAAGGGAGGTGATATGTGAAGCTGTAGATGCCAAAGGGAGGTGATTTGTGCAGATGTAGACGCCAAAGGGAGGTGATATGTGAAGCTGTAGACGCCAAAGGGAGGTGATATGTGAAGCTGTAGCCGCCAAAGGTAGGTGATATGTGCTGCTGTAGACGCCAAAGGGAGGTGATATGTGCAGCTGTAGACGCCAAAGGGAGGTGATATGTGTCTTAAGGTCCTTATCCATTCCCGTATTATGTTCATACTACACATATCACCACAGCATTTTGTCTCCAGGGCCTTTGGATGCACATATCAACACTGCTTAGTTCCTCGACACTGCTGATCTGGCGTAAAGCTGTAAATATCACGATGCAATTGTATCTTGAGAAATACATATTAGTGTGGCATTTAGTCTTCAGCTACACATATCAATACAATATTTAGTCTTCATTTGCAAATATAACTACAGCATATTGTCTTCAGCTGAAAATAACACTACGATATAACACCTTGCCAAATACTGACTACGGTGTTGTTATGGACACAGTGTTGTCATGTAGAGCTGTGGACACAATGTCGTATATTGTAGTTGTGACAGTCTATGATGATCGAGAGAGGACCACGATACTGCGAGGACATGATAGGACGAGACGAGGACGAGACTAAAAGCGATAACAGGTGACGAGAACGTGATAACAGGCGATGTAAAAGCTGCAGCAGCAGACGATAAAGCAATAACAGTTAGCGAAAACGTGATAGCAGGAGATGAGAAAGCTGTAGCAGGAGACTAAAAGAGACAGCAGATGACGAGAACGTGATATCAGAATATGAGAAACCTGTAACAGGAGACGAAGAACCATTAACAGATGACGAGAAGGTGATAGCGGGAAATGTGAAAGCTGCATCAGGAGACAAAAAAGTGATAACAGATGACGAGAACGTGATAGCAAGAGATGAGAAAGCTGTAGCAGGGGACGGAAAAGCAATTATCGTTGTTTGAGAAAACCTTATTGTTCTGCATTAGCCTTGCTATCAATACATTTTCTTCTGCCAATAATGTATCAAATCTGTTGTCATATATGCCAATGGCAGCAGATGTTCTTTTGAACTAGCGCAAGTAAGTTGAAATATTGACAATTTCGTCAATGTTGCTTTTTCGCTCTATAGTTCAACCACTTTCTCGCGAAATAACATGGTTTTATCATCTCATTATATCGTTTTCGCGTCTCGTGCTATCCCTTTTTGTCACGCGTTATCGCTGTCTAATAATGTGTTATCGCTGTCTAATCATATGTTATCGCTGTCTAATCATGTGTTATCGCTTGCTCGTCTAGTGTTATCGCATTGTTGACCTTCCGTTTGCTGCTTGGTGCCTTAAATGATGTCCCTTGCCGGCTACCGTATATATGTGGCAGGAATAGATATTTAGTTTCATAGATGAAATGTCTGAGGTAGGTACCACGCTGCACGGAGCTATAGAAGCCTTATAGACCCTTCCATACAATAATAAGAATAACGATAGACAACCTACCCTCTGTAAAACAATGTCATATAGTGACAGAAGCAACCTTGTACCCAACAAATGAATAGTGTACGCATGACAGTGGATTGTAATCTGAATAATGATGGACACAACGTTACACCCAGTAATTATTCGTATACGTAGACACCACGCTGCAAATACCGATACGAAGAGTGTTGAAGTACACATCACAGTCAAATATATGTTAATAGTAACCACACTGTAGAGAAATATGAACAGTTACCCCAGTACACAAATAACTGTATTACAGCCCCCCGTACGGAATGGAATAGCGGTATAATCCTGCCATAAATCACTATGCACATAGGTAACATACTCTTGTAAAGTCATTTCAGTAGCAAGTATCACCCAGCATTGTTTTGCTCCAGGCAGGCGTATAAAGTTCCAACTAGAGCCAAATATGACATGTAAGACTCATCCTTCAAAGGGGGGACAGCGTACCCCCAATGGGACGAAGAACCTGTGCACACTGTGCCACGAAATATAACGTAATAAATTACAGAGTATATGTTGTATGCGATCCGACAATATCTTGAGGCGGCAGGAAACTGTACTCTGTAATGAATATCCTCACATGGATTACTTTCATTGTGTCCATGATTAACGATAGATGAAAGATTGTGTCATTAGACAATTCTACGACATTCACAGTGGTGATATATTCGCGGGAGGTTTACACGGGGGATTACGGGGGTCGGGAATATGGTCAGAGCTTTGTGGAAACGTGTGATAACATCGTAATAAACTACATATACAATGCGGGAGATATCATCATCATAAACCAAAAATACAGTGAATGCATGAGGCATGGCCAGGATGACTGGAGGGAGGTAGCGTCGCTTGTGTTGAGGGGATCCACCAAGTTTGAAACACAGAACAGTGATAGATCATCAACCTCTCGTTGTTGACGTTTTTTAACCTGGCGGGTATGCGGCTCAGCTGCGCTAACGCACATCTTTCGCAAAGCTTGTCTGATCTTATCAAACTTGCTGTTTGATGAAAAAATACATTCGTCGCGCCTGATATTTTTTGAATATATTCTTCTTAAATCAGAATTTATAAAAAAGTTAATGTTATTATTACATGTAGATAAATGCAAAATGACATTGAATGGTCAGGAACGGCAACTAACAACATCTAAGACTGAACGTCTTCCCCAACCACCACTCCCAAAACAAACAAACATTTAAATTAAAGCCGTCCATGACGAAACACATTCTTATGCCAAATTTATGAGATCGCCTCGTGATGCCTGGTCCTGGAGTAATATTTGGACATTGCGCTAACACCGCACACTTCATGGTGTCTATAACGTTTCTAGTGCTCCACGTCATACATATGACACACCATATGTTATAAGACAGCATCTCGAGTGTTGTATTTTGTTCACTGCTCGACCAGGCTCGACTGCTTCACTGAGACACTGTGAATAAAGCTTTCAAAATCAGCTAAACGTTCCTAGTGAGCTTCGGTTTACGGAAGTTGAATACGACAACATGCACCACCGATGTCAGAGAACACGATTTACCAATTATGATGAAGGAGGTTATGTTTGTTCGTATTGAAAGATGACGATTTCACTTTCTGTGAAATAACCAGTGAGTGTAATGTCTATAGCATGCAGAAAACTTGAATATGTTGAGGTACATCTGACATGTAGCAAATTCATAATATACGTGAGCTGCTATTGACCATGGTCCACATATTAACCTCAGTGACATCTGACGCCGAGATATCAGTGTAATCACATCAGTGACACCTGACCCCTTTCTAACAGTGTATTCACCCTAGGACACCAGACGCCCATCCAACAGTGTATTCACCTCTAAGACACCAGACGCCCATCCAATAGTGTAATCACTTCAGTGACACCCGTCGCCAATCCAATATTGTATTCACCTCAAAGACACCTGACCAACTTCTAACAGTGTATTCACCTTTAAGGCACCAGACGCCCATCCAATAGTGTATTCACCTCTGTGACAGATAACATCATTCTACTCACCTCTGTGACAGATAACATCATTCTACTCACCTCTGTGACAGATAACAACATTCTACTCACCTCTGTGACACCTGACAACCATTCAACTGTGTACTCACCTCTGTGACAGATAACATCATTCTACTCACCTCTGTGACAGATAACATCATTCTACTCACCTCTGTGACACCTGACACCCATCCATCAGTGTACTCACCTCTATGACACCTGACGCCCATTCAACTGTGTACTCACCTCTGTGACAGATAACATCATTCTACTCACCTCTGTGACAGATAACATCATTCCACTTACCTCTATGACACCTGACGCCCATTTAACTGTGTATTCACTTCTGTGACACCTGACACCCATCCAATAGCGTATTCACCTCTGTGACAGATAACATCAATCTACTCACCTCTGTGACAGATAACATCATTCTACTCACCTCTGTGACAGATAACATCATTCTACTCACCTCTATGACAACTGACGCCCATCCAACTGTGTACTCACCGCTGTGACAGATAACATCATTCTACTCACCTCTGTGACAGATAACATCATTCTACTCACCTCTGTGACAACTGACGCCCATCCATCCCGTTGAACACCCATGACTGCAGCTGCCGTTGTTGGCATAGCACAGCTTATGGTGACAATTCCGGTGACATTGAAGCTCACACTGAGGGCCATACCACCCCTCTGTACAGGCTGTGGGAAAACAAGGAGCGATAGTAACATGGACTATACAGAGTTACAATAATAATGAAATGAGACACCGCGTGTCTACAGCCAAAAGAATATTGTTAAATATGTCCTGCCAGGTGATAAATTTCTTGGTGGTTTCAGTTGGTAGAACCTGATGATGATTGTTGGATGGTGTCATTAAGTCGAACCTTTGCTGCACATGGGTCCGATCCATCCTGGTTCACAGCCGTCGGTGCAGCGCCCAGTCATTTGATGGCATGAGTCGTCCAGGCAGTTGTCGTTACACGTTTCGTTACAGTCCTGGCCGTACGTCCCGTTACGACACACTGAAACATAGAAAGGTGATTAACTTGTTATACGTTTCGTTACAGTCCCACCCGTATGCTCTGTTACGACACACTGAAACATGAAAAGTGATTAACTTGTCATTATACGTTTCGTTACAGTCCTGACTCTACACACTGTTACGACACACTGAAACATAGAAGGGTGATTAACTTGTCATTACACAGTTCGTTACAATCTTGGCTGTAAGTCCTGTTACGACACAATGAAACATGGAAAGTGATTAACTTGTCATTACACAGTTCGTTACAGTCCTGACTGTACACACTGTTACGACACACTGAAACATGGAAAGTGATTAACTTGTCATTACACAGTTCGTTACAGTCCTGACACTACACACTGTTACGACACACTGAAACATAGAAAGTGATTAACTTGTCATTACGCACTTCGTTACAGTCCTGACACTACACACTGTTACGACACACTGAAACATGGAAAGTGATTAACTTGTCATTACACAGTTCGTTACAGTCCTGACACTACAAACTGTTACGACACACTGAAACATAGAAGGGTGATTAACTTGTCATTACACACTTCGTTACAGCCCTGACACTACAAACTGTTACGACACACTGAAACATAGAAAGTGATTAACTTGTCATTGCACAGTTCGTTACAGTCCTGACTGTACACACTGTTACGACACACTGAAACATGGAAAGTGATTAACTTGTCATTACACAGTTCGTTACAGTCCTGACACTACACACTGTTACGACACACTGAAACATGGAAAGTGATTAACTTGTCATTACACAGTTCGTTACAGTCCTGACACTACACACTGTTACGACACACTGAAACATGGAAAGTGATTAACTTGTCATTACACAGTTCGTTACAGTCCTGACTGTACACACTGTTACGACACACTGAAACATGGAAAGTGATTAACTTGTCATTACACAGTTCGTTACAGTCCTGACACTACACACTGTTACGACACACTGAAACATGGAAAGTGATTAACTTGTCATTACACAGTTCGTTACAGTCCTGACTGTACACACTGTTACGACACACTGAAACATGGAAAGTGATTAACTTGTCATTACACAGTTCGTTACAGTCCTGACTGTACACACTGTTACGACACACTGAAACATGGAAAGTGATTAACTTGTCATTACACAGTTCGTTACAGTCCTGACTGTACTTGTCATTACACACTGTTACGACACACTGAAACATGGAAAGTGATTAACTTGTCATTACACAGTTCGTTACAGTCCTGACACTACACACTGTTACGACACACTGAAACATGGAAAGTGATTAACTTGTCATTACACAGTTCGTTACAGTCCTGACACTACACACTGTTACGACACACTGAAACATGGAAAGTGATTAACTTGTGATTACACAGTTCGTTACAGTCCTGACACTACAAACTGTTACGATACACTGAAACATAGAAGGGTGATTAACTTGTCATTACACAGTTCGTTACAGTCCTGACACTACACACTGTTGCGACACACTGAAACATGGAAAGTGATTAACTTGTCATTACACAGTTCGTTACAGTCCTGACACTACACACTGTTACGACACACTGAAACATAGAAAGTGATTAACTTGTCATTACACACTTCGTTACAGTACTGACTGTACACACTGTTACGACACACTGAAACATAGAAAGTGATTAACTTGTCATTACACAGTTCGTTACAGTCCTGACTGTACACACTGTTACGACACACTGAAACATGGAAAGTGATTAACTTGTCATTACACAGTTCGTTACAGTCCTGACTGTACACACTGTTACGACACACTGAAACATAGAAAGTGATTAACTTGTCATTACACAGTTCGTTACAGTCCTGGCTGTAAGCCCTGTTAAGACACACTGAAACATAGAAAGTGATTAACTTGTCATTACACAGTTCGTTACAGTCCTGACTGTACACACTGTTACGACACACTGAAACATGGAAAGTGATTAACTTGTCATTACACAGTTCGTTACAGTCCTGGCTGTACACACTGTTACGACACACTGAAACATTGAAAGTGATTAACTTGTCGTTACAGGTTTCGTTACAATCATGGCCTTACGTCCCGTTACGACACTAAAACATGGAGGCTGTTATATTTGCACTTATAAAGGAAGAGTCAGGCCCCTCAGTTACGTTCAACCTTACATTCTGAAACAATAGAAATCATCTGTAAAGTTCACACATATTCTGTACAGTAAACAGTGTGCAGTGAACACTTACATTCTGCACAGTCAAGCTTCAGTATTACGTGTACACTGACATTCTGAAACGGTAGAACTTATGGTTACTTTCGGACCTATTTTCTGTACAGCCAAGGTGCTGTGTTGGGTTCACACCTACAGTCAACCAAAGTGTTAGGTTATGTCTGTCTTTAATGATATGACTGGATGGTTGTGTTTTCTCCATCAATCTGAATATAGTGTGGGGGGATGCGCGAAAGGTGTAAAACCTTACTATAGTCCTAGTGTCACACGTATACACTTGTTCACAACTATTGTCAATCTCGGATATAAATCTTCTAATAGTATAATTAAGTATGTTCTACTACCGAATCAATATCATCATATGAGTTTATTTATTCCAACATCAAGAGGCATGCATTTCCCCTGAACATGCATTTCCCAGGGGAAACATGTTGATTAAAACAGTGTTAGTTTGCCACTTACATTCTGTACAGTCAAGCCCTGTGTAGCCATCAGGACACCCCGACAGACACTGACCGTCCAGCTTCCCACAAGCCTCGTCCTCGTCTCGACACAGACAGGTTTTGTTACACTCAAGGCCGTATGTCTCATCCAAGCAGTCTGCAGGAGACAGTGGTGGACACAATATGTCTATGTCAGAATGTCACTGACCACTAATGTTATACATATTACTGCAACTGACAATGTGTTTCAAACAATACGTTTGTTCGCGTAGTCACTACTGACTAGAAACTTTTGATTGTATTTGTTATTGTTGTTGATATTACTGCTCAAAATATATTTGTTGTTGTGTATATCTCAATATATTTGCAATATTTGTGGGCTTGTTCTCTTTAATACTGATAATATGTTTGCTGATTTAACATCTCAACTAAAACATATTCGTTCGTTATATGCTTTCTGAATTGCAATACGTTTGTCTTTCATCGTATGTGCATATGTTTACTAGTGTGAACACCGCCTTTTTACTGTATGTGTCAATTGGTGTGAACACCGCCTTTTTACTCCATGTGTATATCTGTGTAAACACCATGGGTTCTAATTATTGCATGTAACTACCCACCTCCGTACACCTCCACCTCACACAGGGTCAGGATGCGACAGCCATATAATCGGAGCAGCACTCCATCAGCTGTCAGGCTTCCACGGACCACCACTTCCGTCACGAGCGCCGGGTTGTTGGTGACGTCACGGTATACCTCCAGGTACTCCGGACCGGAAGTCAGCAGGGAGAAGCCTGCTAGTCGGTTCGTCAAGCCCGCTGTAGACGACACAAGCAGAAGTAGTGAATATATTGCATGTAGTGACATTCCCTGATCTATAATGGACATTTATCTGTTTCTTTGGTATGCTTCTGACCAACGGATGTAAAGACCGCCGTAGTTTACTGGATAGGGCATCTGTCTGGGTAGGTGGTTCCAAACTACCTCAACAGATGGTACTAGTGGCATTCAAACAATAAGACAAGGACAGATCAGCTTGCCATCAGTATACTGTCACAGCGTCTTACTGTGCCGCCTATGTTAAACTGCTGCACGGTATGTCAGTTAGCGTGCTGACTCATACACAGATATCCTGAACATACGCGCGTAACCAGTGTATAATGTCCCACTGAGTATTGTTTGCCACGATAGACGTGATGTCATCTTAACAGGTTAAATCCATGCTTTTCCCGTATGATCTTTTTCAATACTAACCCCATGTTTTCGTAAATATAGATCGTGGTCTGAAACATCGTAGTATATTACGATAATGTTAGCGACTTACGATCGCCCCTGTTGTAGACCACCACGCTGTAGATTTCATGAAGCTGTCCAAGGTCCACGGCCCAGGACGGGTTGGTTGTCCCTTCTCTGCACTTGGGCGTGTCCAGCACGTTGGTAACCGTGCACGAGCCCATGGTGAAGTCTGTGTTTGTACTACCGTCCACTGCCAGGTCGGATGTGAAGTTGTAGGCCTTCAGGGTACCATTTATAAAGTCAGGGCCGCCCCATGTTGAACTCTGGTAGGTGCGCCTCTTCAGGGCGATGTTACGCCCTGACAACATTTAAGAATACGGTTAGGCCCATCGTGGATGTGCACTAAAGACGATATATAAGTATTTGAAGGATTCGGTGACCAAAGTTTTACAAATGTTGAAAATGTCTTTCTCATTCAATGTATTTTCGACCTTCAGCTCAGTAATGGATCAGTATCGGGACGCGGGTTTTGTTTTGTGGAAACTCTCCCTTTCATAAATTATGATGAAGGGAATGCTCATTCTTAAAATAATTTCTTTGGAACAAACAACAGCATTATTCTAAAGCATCAGACTTTTCCCTTTGGGATTACTTGGGAAAAAAGTTGTTTCAAAACCTCGGTCAACACAACGGCCAATGAATTTGTTTTCCGAACTACGGTACACGTAATCCACACAAACTATCCTCCAATTATCCATGTTGATGGATGCGTTGTGTTCCTCTCTTCAACACTCCACACAAACTATCCTACAACAATCCATGTTGATGGATGTGTTGTTTCCTTTCTTCAACACTCCACACAAACTATCCTACAACTATCCATGTTGATGGATGTGTTGTTTCCTTTCTTCAACACTCCACACAAACTATCCTATCAAACTATCCATGTTGATGGATGTGTTGTGTTCCTTTCTTCAACACTCCACACAAACTATCCTACAACTATCCATGTTGATGGATGTGTTGTTTCCTTTCTTCAACACTCCACACAAACTATCCTACAACTATCCATGTTGATGGATGTGTTGTGTTCTTTTCTTCAACACTCCACACAAACTATCCTACAACTATCCATGTTGATGGATGTGTTGTGTTCCTTTCTTCAACACTCCACACAACTATCCTACAACTATCCATGCTAACAATTTCATGCTGAGACGTGGAATGTGTCCTACCTCCACTGACCTCAACTTCACACAGTTGTAACCTTGGTGACGCGTGCACGTGCCTAATGATCTTGACCCATCTAGCCAGTATTGGTTCCTTGCATCTGATATCCAGGTGTCCAGATGACACCTGGTACCGTGGGGAGTAGGAGGAGTTGCACACAGACGTGACGACGTCACCGTACCCGTCAAGGCGGTCCAGCTCAATCAGCAGGTCTGTCGTTGTGGCTGCAGGGAGTGAAAGTGTGTATGGTGGTAAAGATAGCGAACACTATATTGCTGTACACAAATGACTGTAATGATAACACAAAAAATCGGATATTTTTCAGATGTATGTGCATTAGATTCCATAGGGATACAGATACACGAGGTTTAAGTGTATACTACACAATGCCGGTCTCTAGAAGCCAGCAGCTCTGTGTTAGCGCCTCCTTGTTTAGGTAGACTGGCCACTAACTTGTGATGACAAATGGCTGGTGATACCAATATCTAGCGTCATCACTGATTTTCTGTGATCCACTCATGTCGTACTCTTAATACTAGTTTGCCTTTTACACCTAATGGAATCTGTTGGGGTCATTAATGAAGACAACTTATACTCAGGCGTTGACATTTTGAAATCCCGTAAATCCTTGTTGTGTTATGTATCAGTGTTGTGTTATGTCACGTTGTTACATGGCGGCGTTACCAAGTGAAGAAGCATAGCACATTGTTGTGCTTCGTAACATTTTGAATGATGACGATACGTAGCGAAGTAGTATATTACATTGTTGTGCTTCGTAACATTTTGAATGATGACGATACGTAGCGAAGTAGTATATCACATTGTTGTGCTTCGTAACATTTTGAATGATGACGATACGTAGCGAGGTGGTATAACTCATTGTTGTGCTTCGTAACATTTTTAATGAGGACGATACGTAGCGAAGTAGTGTATCACATTGTTGTGCTTCGTAACATTTTGAATGATGACGATACGTAGCGAAGTAGTATATCACATTGTTGGGCTTCGTAACATTTTGAATGATGACGATACGTAGTGAAGTAGTATATCACATTGTTGTGCTTCGTAACATTTTGAATGATGACGATACGTAGCGAAGTAGTATATCACATTGTTGGGCTTCGTAACATTGTTTCATGATGACGATACGTAGCGAAGTAGTATATCACATTGTTGTGTTTCGTAACATTGTTTCATGAAGACGATACATAGCGAAGTAGTATATCACATTGTTGTGTTTCGTAACATTGTTTCATGAAGACGAGACATAGCGAAGTAGTATATCACATTGTTGTGCTTCGTAACATTTTGAATGACGACGATACGTAGCGAGGTGGTATATCACGTTGTTGTGCTTCGTAACATTGTTTCATAATGACGATACGTAGCGAAGTAGCATATCACATTGTTGTGTTAAGTAACATTGTTTCATGATGACGATACGTAGCGAAGTAGTATATCACATTGTTGTGTTTCGTAACATTGTTTCATAATGACGATACGTAGCGAAGTAGTATATCACATTGTTGTGTTTCGTAACATTGTTTCATGATGACGATACGTAGCGAAGTAGTATATCACATTGTTGTGTTTCGTTACATTGTTTCATGATGACGATGCGGAGTGAAGTTTGGTCCTCTACCTGTGTGGATCCGAATCCAGGTGATCCACTGATTCGTCTCCAGGTCCACGTGCCAGGATGGTGAGCCACTGGTCGCCAGCGTCTCGAAGCAGGTGTTAATGTCGCCATCCACGGCAAGCTGGGGGCTGTTGAGGACGGGGGATGCAGAGGCTGGCATGTCATACGCGAGGTTCACTGAAATAATGGGTATTCCGGGTATCAAGGACATTCAGGCACCATGGAGATACAGTTGGCATTAAAGAAACCACGCGTAATATGCTATATTAGGTATACGTTATTCGGCAACGACGGGGTGTACGAGCTCCAAGATAATATACGTACTACGTTATAGGGCAAGCCCGGGTTATAGGAGATCCCAGAGTTAAATGGTACCTCGTTAAACATGGGTTCAAACGGATATAATTAGTGTTACTGGTGCCAAGAACATTACATAAAATATGTGTAATATTGACACGAGAGGGAGTATAGAATTCATGGGTGTGCAAGCCTCATGGATATAATAATAAAGATTAGTATTAATGGTACCAAAGGTTTTACAGAAGCTATGTGTGGTATGGTTTCCATGGAAGGTGCAAATTGGATACCATAAGCTCGTATAGGTACCCACATTCACGGTATTACAGGTACCATAGGGTTTGACATGTACAGGTATCAAATGGTCACTTATGGTTTTAACTGGTCCCTTACTATGGTGTTTTGTGTACCTTACTTGAACTTCAAGAGACAAAACTGATATTAAATATCAGTAATTGGTGCAACATGGTTCAAAGCGAAGACTATTCTATTTCTTGTGACGGAAACTTACGGTACTGGCAGAGTGGACCCATCCACCCGTATGCGCATGCGGATCCGTTGCAGCTTCCGGTGACGGCGTCGCATGATGACTCCAGGGCGCAGTGGCACTGGTACTGGCACTTGTCGCCAAAGAAGCCCGAACGACAGCTGCTCGCATATGCTGTAAGTGTGAAAATATATCGTTACAGTTTGTAGTATGTGCGTACAGTACAAGTCCGGTAGGGATTCCAGGTCAGAATACATCCGAATCAACATATGCTCGTGGTATGGTTGAGTTGAGTATGGCTTTACGTCACATCGGCATTATTCAAGCCATATAGTGACGAGAACAAGTCTGCTTTCATGAACATTTCAAGTACAAAGTGTAAATGAGTTTTAGTTTCAAAACATATACATTCATCACATTCTTATTTAAAAGCAGAAGATGCCATAGCACCAAATCCGAAAGCACGCAATTCGTTGTTCACATTACAAAGTAACAATCTATGGTACACGTCAACTTCCCTCAGATAGTTCAAAATGAGATGCCCGCTCACACGGGAAAATAGATCTTCAGATTTCTCACATCATAATTTGAGTCTCTTGCAGTCAAACATTCCACACAGTCAAACAGAAGATGCTTGATGGTGAACACCTAATCGCAATAGACACACATGGGAGGTCCATTCCCATTCGTTTTCAGCAAATAGTCATGAGTAATCCGACTGTGGCCAATACGACATCGTCGTAAAACTACCTCACCACGAGGTACACCAGAAATGGGCTTCACACATTGTACCCATGTGGGGATTCGAACCCGGGTCTTCGGCGTAACGGGATGTCTAATAGCTTGAAGATATCCAAAAGAGCCGATACACTGCAATCAATTAAACTGTACAATATACCCTTGTTCTATTGTACACTGAGTTTACGATCCGTGAAAATCAGGGTTAGAATTGGTCTTCAGCAATCAATTCTTGTCGTAAGCTGAGAGTAACGGGATAGGGCGGTCAGGATCGCTGACTTGGTTGACACATTTCAACGTATCGCAACTGCGTAGATCTATGCTCATGATATTGATCACTGGTCCAGACTCGATTATTTACAGTCCGCCATATAGAAATCAATTCACTCACTCACTCCCAACTCACTCACTAACCAACTTGAATGAAAAGAGGGAAGAAACTGATTTTGACGCTGATCAAAACAGCATGAAGCGTCATAAAATATCGCTCATAGCGACACGGTCAGGCCTTGAGCAAGATTTAAGTGGAGACTGTGGGTTAATTAGTGTTTGTGCAGCAATATCCCTGTATCTAAAAATAATCGAGTGAGGACCAGGCAATCTATTGATACGATGACATGTGCCAACCAAGTGAGCGAGCCTGACCACCCGATCCCGTTAGTCGCCTCTTACGACAAGCATGGGTTGCTGAAGATCAAATTCTAACCCGGATCTACAGCTTGTTCAGCTTGACCTGATCAATCCTAATGCATTACATGACCGTGTCACAACTGGTTGGGTCTCTTATTGTGAAGGGGTGCACCTTTCTCAGTTGATTGTCAACATGTCCGAACAGCCGCGGCAAGGTCGCCGTTTGACATCTCAGTGTCGAGAAATCGTCAGCAATGTACTGAGTTTCTTTAAAAAAGAAGCTACAGATGGTTTAATGTTTCCGATTCATGAAATAGAAAAAGTGACAATTGAAGTGGGTGTAGAGAGTGATAGCGAGAGTGAATCGGATTGTGCAAATAACTGACGTCTGTACGTTGTAAAGTTAGTAAACCAAACCAAACAGCATATGACTGTATAAACAATTCTATTAAAACATGAAACTGACATGATTGTTTTTTCAGAAGTGGTGTTTTCCGGGACAAGTTCTGTAGCGAATCCATGTATGCATGCTTCGCACGAACGCAAATAATTACATTGTTTGCTCCCCTATTTAATGAAGTTAACTCGACCTGGCGTTTGCGCCGTTTGACCTCCCGGGTCTTGCATATGTAGAGCAGCTCAGGTCAAGCTGAACAAGCTGTAATGGATTGGTGAAGAGCGTAGACTGAGGAACGATTGATTACAGTCCGTTTGATTTCATTTGAGACCGATGAATTGCTCGCTGACACAAAATCTAATAATTGCACCAAAGCCAAATTTTGCACAGTCACATCAAACGGACTGAAGAAGCGAATGTTGTAATAGAGCAAAGAGATCTACATTGTAGCTGAAGTAGTAAAATGACCCTCTCCATACATTTCCACTTCTCACTTATAAACTCGTTTTGGGGGGTTTTTAAAAGCACTATTCTCCGTGTTTCGTGGTTTCCTAATGATATTATATAACAGTGTTGCTTGTCCGGGAAGCCCTGCACACAGCACTCCAACACATGTACCGAATGGTATGAAACATTTGAGATGAAAACATTCCGGATTTAATTGAAACAGAACACAGCAAAGCTTGCAACAAGATCAAGATTTATGTCCTTCAGACTCCTGAGTACACTGTCAGTATTTAAGCCCAGAGTGAAAAGTATACTATGAAACCATGTCAGCTGAATGAATGTCAGCATGGATGGTGAAACCCGCCAGAGCTTGGATTGTCTATGCGATCTCTAGTTATCTTTATCTCGTTATGTGATCTATATCTAACACTTGGTCAGTTGCTAGTACATAAAATAACCCACGTGGTTGTATCAAAAGACTTGATCAAAGACAATTTATTGTTAATTCATGTCTACATACACGTTGTGATACATGGTTATTTGACAAAGAAACTGTGTTCAACAGTCACATGTACATGGGTTGGTGAGTGAGTGAGTTAACACCGCGTCATACACACATTAATGCTACTACTTCTACTACAACTACAACTACTGCTACTACTGATTCTTTACAATTGTTTTTCAACACCCAACGGAGGAGGCGAGTAACGGGGTCTTGTGGACAGGCTCGTTGACCTGATTAATGTGTTCATCGTATGCTAATTGCACAGATCGATGCTCCAACTGGCTTGTCTGGTCCAGACTCGATTATTTACAGACTGCCGCCATAAAGCTGGAATACTGCAGTGTGTGGCGTTATACAATAAACTAACTAATAATAATAATAATAGTTATAATGATAATACTAAATGTAATAGTAATGATAAAGATAACTATCAGTCGGAACAGTGTACATTCCAGCTGCATTTGTCAGGTGCACGTCAAATGCTTATAATTATAAAATCAAATTGAAGTTTCAGTTTTATAAGAATAGTATTAATTTCATAATGCTTTTTTTTAAAACGTTTTTCATGATCTTATTCTGATGAGCAGTGACAGACCAGAATACTGTTTCATTCGTGTGAAATATCAATTACAGATTTACAGATAACTTCATCCGTAAGTGCAAAGTACACATACCATGACAGTGAAAATAATCTTTAAATTTAAATATATTTAACGAAGATAATAACATCGCTAACCTTCATGACATAAGACGGGTGTGGCTCAATAAGATTATGATCACATTGCATTCCTTTTTTGATTGGGTGTACAATTGCTGGGCAGTTTGCAAGCCATCCTGCAGAGCAGTGTTTTTTATATATATCTTTAGCACACGGCAATAGCGAGTCTTCCTCATCTCAAACAACGGCGATGGCTGACGCAAGCATGAAAGTCACGTATGCTTCGCATCCTACCATGACCAGCTATGTGACAAGTCGATACGTGACCACCGTGACAAGTCGGTACGTGACAAGGACGGATGGAGAGGGCCCGCCAAGTAATACATGTATTTCGATTGCAAATATTTACAGCTTCATTTTCTATTGCTATCGATTGAGAAACATGTATACGGGCTTCGGCATGTCCTTAGTGGGGTTGTACCATAGTGATAAATGAAGGACTCGGGCTTTGGCACAACACACACGGCATTCCTCTGTGACACTCAGGTGTTCTGCTCAGGCCGATGTACATCATATTAAGTGAGATGTGTTGAACTGACACGGTTTTGAAAAGTACATATGTCAGTTATATCACGGGGTGAGGCAGAAATTCAGTACATCAGGCAGGTCACAGAGTTTGTGCCATCCCCGAGTCTTGGTATAACACTAACGAACACATACTTGTTATCGAAGCATGAGGGGTTCGAAAACGCCAGTAGATCCCAACGGCAAAGGGGCGCAAGTCTTCACAGCTGATTGCGACGCTGGTCACGCCCATGAACGTTCTGAACGCCCATGAACGTTCAGGAGTGATTGAGTTCGATTTTACAAAAATAACAGGTAGAATGCCTTCAGCCCATGGCGGGGACCACTAAATATTTCTTGACATGATGTACCTGTGTTGAGATTCGAACCTGGCACACGGATGTGGTTCCCCAACTCCCTGATCCGTGTGGAGATGCTGCTGCTGAATACTGTGTTAGCTCCTCCAACGCAACACCAGACTAACCTCGTTAATCCGGACGAAAAGATACCACATTACCCTCTAATCGGACCAGAATGTTTCAACTAGTATGGGAATGACGTTACTCGTTAAACTGGATATTTGTTAATGTGGACTTTGTCAATGGGAACGTAAACCATCTGGATTAACGTAGATTATTTTATGACCTGGATATTGATTTACTGCGATTTAAATGCAACCAAATACTCTAATGTCTTTATAGTAATTTATCATCGTAACGACAAAATGATAGAAGACAACCCAACTATATAAAGCCCTTTCAGTACGTCAACCCTCGGAAGGCGGTTCCTTGGTGGAAATACTTGCATGTTAGAATTGATAGAATGTGAGTAAAAATAACTATCTTGGTAAACATATCGTATACATTTGGTTTACATGTGCATACATGAAATCTAATAAAACATTAACACCATGAATCCACGAAGTGGATTATCGGGATTATTGAATGTAGATTTACACGGAGTACAAGAAACTCACCTTGCAGTACTCCTAACAGGGCCACACACACGAGAATACACACCACTTTCCTCCTCTTCATGATAACAGGAATCTAACAGACATTCGGTGGCACCGAAACAGGAGTTATATCATCTCAACACCACTACTGGCTTTGTATCGTGGCCGTCATCAGGTCACGTGACCTAGCCTCACTGAGTCCCATGTCGCCAGGGGACCCCGCTGTACTCCTCTATGTCCGGGCTCAAGTCATCAAGGGTTCACGTTGAGATGTCGTCACGGGGGTCACGACGTCGTCCTGCTGTCAGACGCTGTTGTCGATGCTGCTGTGTCATCCTTGTAGACAATTGCTGGTCATCGCGTTATAGTACCTGTTAGTGTGTGTGTTTTCTTGGTTTTGTTATTTTTTGTTCCAATGTCGACGATTCCGTTAATATTGCAAAAGGTCTGATCTCAAGATATAGAAATGAAGTGAGCTTGCAGGAGACGTATGGTCAGTAATGTGACGCAGACACTACCCTGTATCATTACCTGCAACACCTACCGATGTAGCGTAGAATTCAGAAACGTCACTTACTTACTAATTATTTGTATCAGTGCTTACTTTTATTATTTTATACCGACTTCTCGACGTGCTCGACGACAAAACGCACATGATCTCACTCACTCACACGTCGATGACTTGCTCTCATAACGGTATCTAATGCAGCTTTAGAAGTGTTCATGATCTTTCTCACTAAATGAACGTAATAAATGTATTTAAATATGTGTTCATGCCCTCACTCACTAACTGAACGTAATAAATGTGTTTAAATATGTGTTCGTGATCTTGCTCACTAACTGAACGTAATAAATGTATTTAAATATGTGTTCGTGATCTTGCTCACTAACTGAACGTAATAAATGTATTTAAATATGTGTTCGTGATCTTGCTCACTAACCCGACGAGAACATTATGTAAATTAAATTAAAATAAGTACATAGTCATTCCCTAACTCACGAAACGAGGGTGTACTCTTACAGCGTTATGTAATGTATTTAAGGAATTATTCAGTCTCTCACTAACGCATCGAGAATGTGCACTCATAACGATATGTAATGCAGCTATAGACGTGTTCACGCTCTCACTCACTAACTCAACGATGTTGTACACTCACAACGTTATGTTATGTCTTTAAAGATGAGTTCATGATCTCCCTCACTAACGCGACGAGGATGTACACTCAAGGAATTATTCATGCTCTCGCTGACGTCGAGAATGTGCAATCACCACGTTATGTAATTTACTTCAGGAAGAAGTCATTCAGTTACTAACACGGGGTGTACACTGACAACGTTATGTGAGGTATTTACGGAATTATTCATGCTCTCACTAACACTTCGAGAATGTGCACTGACAACGGTATGTATTTAAGGAAGAGATCAGGATCTCACTCACTCACACATTAAGATTGTATGTACACTCACAACGTCATTTAATGTATTGACAAAAATCATTCTCTCATATCCTTAACGCCAGCCCACTCTTTTATATGTTCGCTTAATAGACCTGACAATCTCCTCGTCATTGTCAATACAACCAACTAGGCATACAGCCATGATACGGTAGAGAGCAGGTACAGCGCGTCCACAACACCATCAGCCTCCGCCTCCGTCAGCTCCTGTAGCAATACATACACGGCGACCTGCTTCACACACCTGGCTGTGTCCTAATGCAACACGGAAGCTGGATGGACATTGTTTCAAGCATCCCGTCTATTTCCGAACGTTTGTTTTCTAGAACAGACCGCTAAGTAGCTGCAGTGTGTGTACAGGGACGGCCGACGATGTGATGGTCACGACACACAACAGGCGCGATGGCGGAACGACACAACCACACACACGGAGAGACAGGACGCTTTGGGTTTTGTGGAGAATAGAAACAGACGAGGCTAGCAGTAAATATACACGTTACAACAATGCGTATGGTTTATACGCCACTTTTAGGAAAGGACCAGCAATACCAGGGCGGAGGACCCCAGATGTGAACTTCAGAGTGAGTGAGTTTAGTTTTACGCCGCACTCAGCAATATTCCAGCTATATGGCGGATAATCTTCAGACATTGTGGGGGAATCGAACCAGGACCGGTGTGACCCCAGCTACCCCAGTCAGAAGAAAGAGAAGAAGGACGATAATTATGTGGAACAGATATGAAGAAATATTTTAATATTTATATATTGTTGTTCGGTTGCTGTATGGTTGTCACTGCAAACCCGAAGTTACACCAACGACGCAGTCCATAGATACTTCAAAGTACACAATAGTGACATTAAGTGTATAAGAATGGACATTCAGTTATGAACCTCCACAGAGTGAAGGCCAAATATTTTATAAACGGCGTCGTAAATCGTAATAATACACACTACATAAGTATATAAGGACCACTGTTACGTTGTTCCCAGTAACTGCATACACAGAGGAAAATGTTAGGCGCCAGTTCTTCTATATTACAATACACTTTATGTATCCCCTGTAACTCCAAGTGACATTGATAACATTAAATACCAGCCTGCGATACCACTGACACCTGGTGGAGAACTTACCAACTCATGTTCCACCTTGTAGTCGCCTGTAGTGGGTCATGGTGTATGAGTGAGGGAGAAGCGGTGCGAGTCAAATGTAATGTGTCTTCTATATGTCAGTGTGAGTAAACTTGAAAAACAAAGGAAACGTGCATCGACAGAAAAAGAAATCATGGAGCTCTTTCAGAAATGTTCGTCTGTTTTATGATGAAGCATAACGCAAACGGTGCTCATTCGAGCTTTGATAATGACGGTTTGTGTGTGTGCGCACGCGCGCATGCGTTTGCAGTTTTTGTGTCTTACGATCAAGTCAAGTGAATACTGCACATTAAACATCATATCACAAAGTAAACATCATATCACACAGTAAACAAAAGTATTTCGAGAAGTATGCTTAAAGTGTCTCTACGCTCATTGCTTAAATATCCAACTGTATATGTCCATCTCCACAGCATGAGATAGTAGTAGTAGTAGCAGTAGTAGTAGTAATAGTAGTAGTAGTAGTAGTAGTAGTAGTAGTAATATAGCAGTAATAGTAGTAGTAGTAGTGGTTGTGGTGGTAGTACTAGCAGTGGTGGTGGTGGTGGTGGTGGTACTGCTAGTAGTAGTACTTTAGATCATTAAACTCGGTACGAGAGAATAGTAGTGAATGAATATGATTTTGCGCCGCTGTTACCAATATTCCAGCAATTTGATGACGCGGGCCTCACACACTGTAACAATGTGGGGAATGGAACTAAGGTCTTCGGCTTGACGAGTGAACGCTACAACCACTAGTCTACCCCTGTGAGATGAAGCAGGTGGATGATGATCATCAGAAGTAACAGTAATAGCGGCAATTGTAGTGGATCGTGTTTGTTTGTAAATAATCATCTGGACCAGACTATCCAGTTACTGACATCAAGACAATTGTTCTGAACATTTCGATAATATCCGTCAATCACGTCTGGCCCCACAATCCCGGTTGTTTCTTCAATGGTTTCGCGGATGAAGATTCAATGCTTAACGTAATAGAGATAGGAGAAGTACCATTTATAGTGGCAGCATCAGTGCTAGCCTCAGCAGCAGTGGTGGTAGTGGTGGTGGCACGTCTTGTAGAAGTATCGGTAGCAGTGGTGGTGGTGGTTGTATAATTATATAACTTTCTCCGTGTTAATTAGTGAAATTGTTCCTTCATATTATATTTCTCCAGAGGAATTACTCCCATGAACTACATTGATTGGTGTATTTCACCTTTACACTGGCAATATTGTTCCGAATGTAACCTATTCTATTGTAGAACTGATGATTGTTGACAAGAGCATCTTCTGACAAGCAGGGGTTGTTGAAGATGAATTCTAACGGGATTGAGTGTCAGGCTTGACAACTTAGTTGACACTAGTCGTGTTGGTGTGTGGTGGTGTTCATAGAGCGCAGGTCTCAGTTAGGTGAAGTAAAGCAACGTTGGTCACAGAGAGCCCTTGGCTGGGTGACCATGTTTGGCAGCTTGACTCCTGAGAGGCTTTGGACTTCTGCCCTGCCCCACAACGAAGCACCTATGTGGTCACACCAGAGACAAGTGATACAATTGGATAAATGAAAAAATAAATAAGTAAACTGATTAATAACTACACAGGGTATGGATAAATGTAAGTATGTATATGTTCCATGAAGTTTTATATTGTATTAATAATGGAATATACTATAGGCCCGTGGCCTTGTGAGTCCTGAAATAAAGAAGATACTTTGTTACATGTGGTCTCACCTTTGGCAAGAGAGTTTGTTACGAATTGCCTCTGTTCACCCAGCAGAAAATGGGTACCCGGTGGTATAAGTCATATGACTGTTAACCATCTTGCGCCTGGGGCAGCTTGGGTTATCCGGGGTAATAATGTCCTTCATGTTGTATGTACTTAGGGTATGTCCCTGCGGCGTGGAGTTCAGCGCTACATAAGTGGCCAATTATGATGGTGTATCCTAACTGTGTGGATCGATGCTCATACTGTTAATCACTGGATTGTCTGGTCGAGACTCCGTTATGTACAGACCGCCCCCATATGGCTGGAATATTGCGTTTATAAGCGGAGTAAAACAACAAACACACAAAGGACAAGAGCCACCGCAGCAGGTGGTAGTAGTACTCGAAACGGAGGTAAAATCCCTTATCAACATCCATCTACTTTTGTAAGTGGCATCCCAGCTTCAACATCAATCAAAAACCGTACACCGGGTTTTTTTAAATCTCGGAGACATCGCACTCATACATGGGAAGTTGGACATTATATAAAGACAAACTGTATCGACATGGGTTAAACCTTAAAAAGTTCCGGTAACATTTCATCGTCGAACCCTGTCATAAAATACCATAGTATAACAATACGACACCTGGCTTTGACGTGAAACAAAAGGATATTGATGATGACGAGAAAGTATGCAGTCAGATCGTTAAAGATTACTACTCCCGAGAGAGAATGAGTCGATGTTAACATGCACGTGTGAACAAACATGTGGTCTTGGAAGTAACTTGAACGAGTATTTAACGACAAAATTCTTGACCTTCATACTATATTTATATTATCTTATCTGCCGGTAAGAATGAGGTGTATTAAGGAATAACACTACTGTGGCGAGACAATCTCAGGTCTTTGTGTAGGTGTATGTCAAGTTGTGATGGCAGCGGTAGGCTGGACGCTCGTGTGTCTCCTGTCAGCCATTTGTTGCATTAGAAGGGCCAGCGGCTGGGCCTATATGAGGGAGGGTAAGGACGTATTTGTGACAATGTCGGGTGGTGGAGGGGAAGGGACGGGAAAGGTGAGGCTTATATGGGGTGAGGGCCAGGATGTACTTGTGACAGTGTAGGTGGTGTTGGTGTTGGTGTTGGTGATGGTAAAAGCTTGGCATATATGAATGGTGTAGTACGTACTAATGATACCAGGGAACACAGTGTCATTTTACATGATTTGTGAAAGTTGACACAAATGATTCATGTAAAGAAATTTATCAGATAGCGAAAGGCACACTGGTAGGATAAGCCAACGGATGAAAAAAGGTATTTGAAAGTTCATGTAGGTACTACTGTCAGTGTTTACAAACAAACATGGCGTCGATCTTGTCAGTCGGCGATCGAGTCAGTGTTTAACCTGCAGCAGCTACAGTGATAGTAGTTGTCATTGTTAGAAATATACATTGCGACTCTGAAAATCAGTGTCTAACGGATACGAAGTTGAGGTATTTTAAATGTGTGGTAACGTTGGAGGTATATATTTGGCGAGGACAGTTGTGGGTTGGTTTTCATAGGTCTGTACTTGTAGACATGTGCCCATTTCCCTAATGTATAACAGTTGAATTTGGCCGACATAGAGCAACGTGTGACCTTGTTTCAGTATGTTTGTGTGTCTGTACACCTGACTCTGCATGTCACAACGTTATATAACTGGAGAGACAGACGACAAATGTGACTTCTCGTGGGGTTAGAGTAGCTTCCCTTTGATTAAAGGGTGGTTACTCTAGCGGGCGAACAGATGGATTGCCGCTAACGGAAAGAAGAAACAAAACGTGTTGACTAGGCACATTACTGTCTAGGAAACAGGTTAGAGTTGAAGGGTTGTCACTGTCCGACTTACAAATCCCCGTCCTCTTGACGTTATACACACTATTACGCACATTCCAGTAAAACTTGCAATGTTCAGGTGGAGTCTAATGTTTGTAAGGGATGAGGAAAATATAGGAAAATGTCAGAATTTCAATATAATTTCTTTAAACATTTATCCTTGATAAAGAGGTAGCTAGGACATACCGCTCTCGTTGTGCATGGCAGGACATTCATTATACTAGGGCAAATATTTTGACCTTAGGTTAGTATATGCTGGACATACGAATACTACCGAGTATTCGTCATCTAAGTCTTCTTTACAGGAATTGTAGTCTGTCATCAAAGTCATGGTCACTAGACATCCTATACTTAATATCTAACGGAAAGAAAGGTGTGTTTACTGCAGCATGATGCAGGTAGGGGGGAAGGGTGTGCATACTGCAGCATGATGCAGGTAGGAAAGAAGCGTGCCCTTACTGCAGCATGATGCAGGTAGGAAAGAAGACTGTGCTTACTGCAGCATGATACAGGTAGGAAAGAAGGGTGTTCTTACTGCAGCATGATGCAGGTAGGAAAGAAGGGTGTGCTTACTGCAGCATGATACAGTTTAGTTTGGAGCTCTAATTGAATTTACAGTTTTAATCGATGAACACATTTTTCAGGTGGTATAAAGGATTCGTATTCATAATATAATTCTAGCCTGTAATAAGAATAATCACCATGTATTTACCTTGTCGACACTTGGTAAATACAGTGTTATTCCTAATTTAGGATGTTATCACCCCAAATCACACTCACGGGATAACTCCTCCATACTTTTCCAATAACATGTCATCGTATCCCAGTTGCATAGATCGATGCTCATGTTGTTCATCGCTGGATTGTCTGATCCAAAATCGACTATTTACAGACCGTTGCCATAGAACTGGTGCGGCGGCAAACAACAAACATTCCAATAACGTATATTGTATTATGTGTTGTAGGGGACTGTCCCAACAACCATCAGCCTGGCGACACCTGGCATGAGGGGGGCCTGTTCTAGGTACATACTCTGATTAACACATCCCACATACAGTGGCGCCTTATTAACTCTGTCCTAACATGTCTATCGTTCAAGAGATGGAACTTTATTGCGTCGACGGACGACTCTCGCAACATCCACACACCGCATGCCGTAACATACGTACATGATATGCACGTGGTATATATCCTCAAGAAATCACATGTGTATCAATAACCTAGTACAATGTCAGTATCTGGTGTTACCTACTCTACAAAAACTACAGAAACAACCCTATTTGTACCCTCATCCTGATTGACGTATCTGACGTCCAGGTATTGCTTTCCATTCTTGGTGGAGGGCTTGATCCAATACACGTACTGGATTATCTCTCTGGCGTATTCGACGTCCTACAATGTCTTAAATGTACTCTCTGGGATTGAAATATGTATTCCTAGCGGGTCAAGGTAAAGTTGTTACAGTCTCTTGACGTAAGAAATCACAACCGACACGTGTTCTGGCATTGTCGCCCATGGAGACTGCCTTGTGTTCAGAGGATGGTCATCGACATGTGGTACAACAGCACAGTCGGGGATTTCAATGTACCGTTGTCCATTCAGATTTTGTCAAAAGGTCAAGTTTTAAGGCCTGTGAGAAGCACCCCCGATAACCACCAACGAACCCCTGCCACACGCTCATTGTCCCGTGTTTCTGTGACAGCAAACACGAGCTCAGCCATCAGTCATTACCAAAAGAAATCCACTTTCGTCCGACTAGTGCACCCTTCCCGATGACGTCAAATTCCAGTCATGTCGAGCTTGACACCAAACTACCGGTGCTGCTTTGTGCTCAACCGACGTCAGGTTGGTTCCCAGACTCTCTACCGACAGATGTTAGGCGTTCTTATGGACAAAGACGATGTGGAAGCCATTCCGCTTTGAACACGCAAGTTGACACGAACAGTTAAAGTCTTGTTATCCGGAGAAGGGCTGTATCTTCTCTAGGAGTTGCCACCCATGGTCGATTTGAACACTGACGGTCCTTACCGTCATTAGCGTGCTGTCACTTTTCTGACCAATCCTGATAGTTTCTGGATGACAAGTAGCATCTCTTGCAATAGGCCTTAATAACATGCCAGCATATCAATAACCTGCCATGTTTGAGTAGTTGGGGAGACCCCCTACTTTCTTATCAACAACAAAATCAAATTGATTTTGTAAGTTATCGAGCTGTAGGGACAGTCTGCTCAAACTTGATATTTGTTTAATGACAGCTACAAGTATTGCACGTCATGCTCGTATGTGATCGTAACATGGCAGATATCTAAAATCAATGTATGGTGCGCACGAATGGTAAAAGCATACAAACAAACATAATTATGATATGAATAAAAATGGCTATATGGGGGTTAATTAATATGGTTCCCGAATAATTGAGCAGCTAGAGCTGTCAAATTGTCATATGCACATTCAAACCATTTACCAAATAGCGATATGTTGTTATTTTAATGATGATGGCATAAAAAACCCATTACACCCCATGTTGCAGGTGCGATTGTCATGAGGAAGGGTACGCCTGTTACGGGTAAGTCTCTTTTAAACAACGGCATTTGTGTGGTTAGACCTAATAAAGGAGGAAAGTACTTAGCGTGTTAGCCCTTTGTTAACAATACCTACCGTATATTGAGACCTTGGGCCATGAATCACAACCTGATTGGAATAAAGGAGTCGTCCCGAACTCACTCGATATTAACATAGTCGTCATGAATAAACATATTCAGAGATGTTTATTCAAGTAGATAATTTCATTCTTCATTTAATTATTGTGCGTTTTGGTTAACGTCAACTTTCAGAACACCGGTGAGTACATTTAACGTTGTCTGTTGCCATTTGTCGTCACAGCTGCGGCTTTGTGAATACTCCCACGAACTGCTACACCGACACCCCCCATGCGACCGATGTCTACCCCCTCTGCTGCCAGGTGCAGACAGTGTGCCCCGGGGACAAGGGCTTCGACCGTGCGAAACTCAGATAAAAATAGCACACAATAACCTTCCCGGTGTGTTAGGTCAGGCTGTCGTTGAATTCAATGACAATAAATATGTATACACAGTAATAACCTTTTCTTTAATTAATCAGCTGGCAAGTGTTTCCAGCGCATCCTTCCTTTCATTCCACACTTGCTCACACCATGGATGATACTGTATTTTATCCCATAAGTCTTTCTGTCATGCACCACGCTGCATCCAGCACACCTTTCTTCCCTACCTGTATCATGCTGCAGTAAGCACACCCTTCTTTCCTACCTGCATCATGCTGCAGTAAGCACACCCTTCTTTCCTACCTGTATCATGCTGCAGTAAGCACACCCTTCTTTCCTACCTGTACCATGCTGCAGTAAGCACACCCTTCTTTCCTACCTATCATGCTGCGGTGCACACCCTTCTTTCCTACCTGCATCATGCTGCAGTAAGCACACCCTTCTTTTCCTACCTGTATCATGCTGCAGCAGTAAGCACACCCTTCTTTCCTACCTGCATCATGCTGCAGTAAGCACACCCTTCTTTCCATTCCTACCTGTATCATGCTGCAGTAAGCACACCTTCTTCTAAGCACACTCTTCTTTACCTGTATCATGCTGCAGTAAGTAACACTCTTCTTTCCTACCTGTATCATGCTGCAGTAAAGCACACCCTTCTTTCCTACCTGTATCATGCTGCAGTCACCCTTCTTTCCTACCTGTATCATGCTGCAGTCATGCTGCAGTAAGCACACCCTTCTTTCCTACCTGTATCATGCTGCAGTAAGCACACCCTTTCTGTATCATTGCCTACCTTCCTATATCATGCTGCAGTAAGCACACCCTTCTTTCCTTCCTACCTGTATCATGCTACCAGTAAGCTGCACCCTTCTTTCCTACCTGTATCATGCTGCAGTAAGCACCCTTAAGCACACCCTTCTTTTCCTACCTGTATCATGCTGCAGTAAGCACACCTTCTTTTCCTACCTGTATCATGCTGCAGTAAGCACACCCTTCTTTCCTACCTGTATCATGCTAAGCACACCCTTCTTTTCCTACCTGTATCATGCTGCAGTAAGCACACCCTTCTTTCCTACCTGTATCATGCTGCAGTAAGCACACCCTTTTTTCCTACCTGTATCTGTCCTGCGGTAGTACACACCCTTCCTGCGTGTATCAAACCATGTTACACCCTTCAGCTATACCTTTCTTCTTGCTACCTGCATCATGCTGCAGGCCAGACACACCTCATGCCATAAAACCCCCTCAGCACACCTGTTCGTACCGTGCTTTGCTGCGGAGGCAACACCCTTCTTTCCTGATTGTGTACCCCATTTCTTCCTTACCCCACCCTTCTTTCCTACGGTCATTTTTTGGTGTCCACCGCCGTGATATTGCTCGAATATTGTTAAAAGTAGTATAAAACCTCACTCACTCACTAACTCACTTAACCTATGAACAAATATTTTCCGGCACATAGTGGACGAAACACAACTCTCCTGCAGTGACAAATCTAATAATATTGTGAGCCCCCTGAATATAAACATATCGCATTCCGCTCGAACTGATAGACAAACTGACATATGTTTATAGATAGAATCATTATCATTATAATTGAATATTGTTTTCGTATAATCAGCTACTTCCTGGACTTTTTGTGCATCTGTTAGTTTCGTTTGGCGGTACATTGTTAGTATTGCCAGCTAAACTAACGATGACGTGATCGAGCTGATTTCTACACATCCTTTCAAATTCAAATTCAAATTCATGTTTCTTGAGATAGAACTATCCATCGACTGAATACAGATTGTTCCATTTGACTTCTCTTTAATTCACATCTCACGTACGATGCTGCTCTAACCACGCCCCTCCTTCTGCCATATACCGTGCTGCATTGATAGGCACAACTACATTAATATACACGTTACTGAACTAAGCACATACTTCCTGTCGCCATGTACTCCTATACTCTAAGCACATCACGTACCATGCGTTATGCAGCACTAATTATAAGATACATGGATACAATGACATACTTGTAGATTATTAGTGCTCTGAATAATGCAGCCGAGACTACAGTCAGGTTATTGTGTATAGAGGAGAATAATTCAGACGCTTACTATAACATATCCTGGCACCATGCATGCAGTGAAATGACTGTAAATACTGACCATAAGGCATCATGCATTCAGCGGAATAACAACAAGGTAAAATACATCGTTGGGATTACTGCATATAAGATACAGATTGCAATACATCATTCATACCATGGAATAACAGGCATTAATTTATCACGCACACAATAGATATAACTGACGATGTGACTGTTTTTGCATCATGCATACAATGGAATAACTGTAGATGAAAAGCAAACGTCGTTAAGCTTGCAATGGAATAGCTGCAGCTACAGACTATGAGGCGTCATACATACAGATACAGAACTCCAGAAACAGACTATTTTTTATCGTGCATACAGTGCAATATAACCTTTCAGTTCCAAACCCTACAATGGAAACTAAATATATCCCGTAAATCAGTCTGATACACATGTAATAGAGCCATGGGCCATTTCTGAACTAACACAGAAAGACATTATCATTAACGTATTTACATTTGTTTGAAAGCTACCTTTTTATAGGAGAAGAGGAGATTTCCGTTTTCAAATTTGCTATCAATTTCAAACCAGTGCTCACATTTCTAACTGTTCCCACAATGTACATCTTTACCAGATGAAGAACACGAACTATATTTTATGAATTTCATTTCATAACAATATTCTTTTTTTGAACAAATATATTTTTTTTTATTTATATTGCCATTTATTCCTACACTCCTACAAGGCATCATTTTGCAACATGTTTTATATGTTTACGTAAAATTTGAATTTGGTTACATCGGTGAGAGTATGATAATGTCAAACGTTATGCATGTAAGAATAACAGCGTTGTCACGAGGTATTATTGAGAACACACATCTTGTGGAAGACGAATACAGCGACACAAGGCTTTGTCTAATGTATCTTAACAAAATAAAGGTGGAATAATAGTGACGTTCTCACCTCATTTGTCAGATATGCTGTGTTTCAAATACCTTAAAATCGCAAATTCCATGGGTAAAGGTCTAATGCTTGATGCCGAAGTGGTGAAATATACAAGTCCGGACCATATCCCATTTGTCAGACATCTCGTTAGAACATAAGACTGATACTAAATAAAGGAAAAATACTTCATTGGATTTTTTATCGTGAGTAGTTACTAAGGCTCTATGTTCGAAAGCCTAAGTAATATATACACATGGAAATGATTCAGCATCCCTAGTATATTTCATCACACTGATGTAGTTATCGACGATGATGATGTCAGCGAATGCCATTGTTTAGTAGCATATTTCAGGTAATGACAAGCAAAGTTTCAGTTTGAAAGGATTAGCCCAAACGCAGCCCATGTTAAGCATGCTGCCAACTCACATTGTGAAAAGCAGTATCTCTGCCTGGCAGTTCAAAGGTATAAAACTTGTGAATATGCCATCCGTTTCATTCACATACGTTAAAATGGCGAGGTGAAACTTTCATTGGGACTGAGATGAGACATAGTTTGCATATATGCAGTTGGCATGTCATTCAAAGACATCGGGTTTCAGCTTGGCTGCTGTCATCAGCAGACACAAACAAACAGGCGCTGTCAAGGATCGACGAAATCCAGGGCAACTCAGGAAGATCACGCCAGCGGAAGTTCGCAATCTTGCCTGTTGCTGAGGCGTGAACCCTTCTCTACGAGCACTCACTTGAAGCAACTCTGGGTGCCCAACAGACGTTTATCAACCAAGACCGTACGTAACCGTCTCAGGGCTCTTGGTCTGAGGTCTGGAAAGGTCATTAGGCGTCCAACTATGACCCATGCCATGTTGTGGATGGTCGCCTGAATGTTTGTTGGTGCGTTAACACTGCTAATGTGCCGAGGAACGTTGATATTACTGTTTCCTTTGGTGGAGACTCCGTTATGGTCTGGGAATGTATCTCCCATGACTGTAAGTAGACATTGGAGATTTTAGGGCTAGCGATCACACCACGGACAATCTTGATCAAGTAGTTGTGCGCCAGTTTGATAACCAGCCATTGGCTGCCCGTCCCATGTTCATGGACGACGGCGGTCACGGTCAAATAATGAAATGTTAAATCTGTAGGATAACGTATAGAACACTACATCATCTATCGTATCTCAGTTGGGCGCTTGGGTAACCAGATGGTTAAAGCGTCCGCTCTTCACGCTGAAGACCTGGGTTCGATTACCCACATGGGCACAAAGAATGAAGCCCATTTGTGATTTCCCCCGCCGTGATATATTGCTAAAAGCGGGGTAAAACCCAACTCACTCACTCGTATCTGAGATGATCAGTTAGTTTATTCACTTAGCTGACACGTCTTAATACATTTTCTCTGAAACACACAGAGGATGAAGTCGGCCTGGTACTTGACATACAACAGGTAAATCTCATGACATACAGCAGGTGAATGGCATGACATACAGCACGTGAATCTCACGACATACATCAGGTAAATCTCATGAAATACAACATGTTCATCTCAAGACTTACGACAGGTAAATCTCAAGACTTACAACAGGTAAATCTCAAGACATACAACAGATAAATATCATGATATACAACAGATAATTTTCATGGCATACACCAGGTAAATCGCAAGACATACAGCAGGTAAATCTCATGACATACAACAGGTAAATCTCAAGACATACAACAGGTATAGCTCATGAAATACAAGAGATAAGTTTCATGACATACAACAGGTAAATGTCATTACATACAGCATATAAATATCATGACAAACAACAGATAAATCTCATGAAATACAACAGGTAAATATCATGACATACAACAGATAAATCCCATGACATACAACAGGTAAATATCATGACATACATCAGATAAATCTCATGACATACAACAGGTAAATATCATGACATACAACAGATAAATCCCATGACATACAACAGGTAAATATCATGACATACATCAGATAAATCTCATGACATACAACAGGTAAATATCATGACATACTGCAGATAAATCTCATGACA